CTTCTTCTTCTTCTTCTTCTTCTTCTTCTTCTTCAGAGTAGAATAGAGGTAACTGCAGACATTGTTTGGACACGGCCTTCTGCCTGATTGGACACAACATTCAGATCGGACTTATACTCTACATTGGGATTGAACTGTGTACGACATTCGGAGATCAGACTTGGGTTGGACTTGATTACTATGTCCCTCCCCCTTCTCTCTCGCATGTCTATGGATCTCTCCCCATGTGTGTGAGCGGAAGGGCAATCTTTCTGATGTCTTGCCCTTCCGAAGTTTCTCCCTTTCATGTTGTTGTCCACGTGTCCTTTTGATACGAAATCTTCCGCTGCGCTGCTTCCCAGCCCATGATGATAATGATACGAATGTGTTGTTGTTGATTTCTCGTGGTTCACTCTTTGCATCGTGCACATTGACATCTTGTGAATGTTGCACCTACGCCGCTGGTTGTTGCCACTTTCGTCATTGCTAGATCCTAGGGTCTCAGTGCATTTCACTTTCTGATATGCTACACCCTCTCTCTTTTCTCTCACTTTCTCTTACGTCTATCGCTCGCACTACCTCCTGCTACCTCTCTGTTGCTTGGCCTGGTGTCTTTTCTTATGCTGCTGTGGGCCACCGTAGAGCACTGCATGGTGGATTGCATGCGTGGCACAGAAAAATATCCACCATGCAGTGCTCTACGGTGGCCCGCAGCAGAGCATAAGAAAAGACATCAGGCACASCAAGCAACAGAGAGGTAGCAGGAGGTAGTRCGAGCGAGCGAGAGACGCATGAGAAAGTGAGAGAAAAGAGAGAGGGTGAGAGAGTCATACCRAGAGAGAGTRAGAAAGAGAGAGAGTCATAGAGAGTGAGAAGTGACTCATGCACGTGTATAGATGTAAATGCAATTACCCGCACAGTTTCAGTCTGAGATTTCTGCACTTTCTGAGTATTGATGTGTGTTTGTCTGATTTGCTGAAGATTTCCAAGCTCGTGTGTGTTTGCTGTTGCCTGCGTCCAAGTCTCTATATGTAGTAYGTGATGCATGCTATGCCCATGAACTAGCTCTGTTCTCGTGCTGTGTATTCTCTGTTCTAGGAAAGGTAGAACAGCAAAATGGTAGAGCGACAGGGGTAGAAGCAAAATTGGACATCGAAAGGACAAAAAAAAAAAAAAAAAGACGGAATCCTAGGACAGAAGGACAAGTAGAATTTGCCAGGTACCTCGCATGATTTTCCAACAACTTGCGTAAGCCTAGAAAAGTCCAGCGACTTACAAAGAGGTCATGATAGCCCAGGGCCTAAATGACGGAAGGTCCARATCCTGAGAGTGGATTGMAGACTGCAAAATGATGTTCCGCCAAAAGGCAGGTGCTTCCAGTGGGCCTAGCACACAGGCAGATGCTGAAGTGGCCGGCGGTGGAGGGACTGGAGGCCRAGAATGCTGAGTAAATAATTCGGTGCAAGAAGTAGGCCGTATTCAACCGGCAGTCATGCTGCTGCTCCGCCTTCTGGGTGAGTTAGGCGAAGCTCTGGGTTGAAGTGAAGGAGCTGTGGGTGATATAAAAGATGTCCATGGCTATTGAGTAGTAGTAAAAGGGAGTAGGCCTAGGCTAAGGAGGTAGAGGGAGAAGGGCCTCAAGCCAGGCTACGTAGACAGGTGGAGGATGAGCTTAGAGGTTGAGGGAGAGGAAGGAGGAGGGAACCGACATTTGGCCATGGCGGATGTTCATCTGCACTTCCTCGGTGCTGCATTTAGGGGGGCCCTGTTGGGGTTCTGGTTGGTCTTCCACTTTATCGGGGAGTGCGGCTATTGCCGCATAAGATGGGAGAGGCACAGACAGCAGTAGTTCATTGTCCTTTGAACATCCGTGGTGGCCATGGATGTACAACCATAGCTAGATATGCAACCGAGAGGACAGGAGTGAGGGTGAGCCCGAGAGGAAAGCTCTTCAAGGGCTGGCAATCTGGAAGATTATTCGGACATKTATTCTCGTTCATTCATTCATTTMTCATGCTGATTGATTGTTATGTAAGGAGAAGAAGATGACGGGAGGGAGAAGATGATTGGTGAGAAGTGAGGGCAATGACATTGGTTCAATCTTGCTTCTTCTTCTTCTTCTTTTTCTTCTTCTTCTTCTTCTTCTTCTTCTTCTTCTTCATTTCATTGTCCATTTCTACTCCGTCTCGACTTGTGAAACCTTGTATTGTCTAAAACGGAGCCACTTCCTTTTTCTTGCGGATCGAGCTACTCGAATGAAATGAATACTATCGATTGAGGCGAAGGACGGCATCTTCTTCGTCGTCGTCGTCTCGCCCTCCATCTCTTCTCCCTCCTTACTCCTCCTCCTCCTCCTTCTTCTTCTTCTTCTTCTTCTTCTTCTTCTTCTTCTTCTTCTTCTTCTTCGTCGGCGTCTTCTTCTTCTTCTTCTTCTTCTTTCACACAGAGAGAGAGAGACAGAGAGAGAGAGAGGGAGAGGTTACATCGGGCATGAAGCCCAGGATCTGATTCGATATTTTTGTGGCAGACATTGATTGGACATTCGGCAGGGAGACTATTTTTGGACTTCGCTATCGCGATCTTGGTCTTCTCCCGCACCTCCATCTTCGTCTCGCCTCTCCCCCCATCTCTCATCCGTGGTATCTCTCCCCCATGTGCGTGTGCAAGGAGGGACCTTTCTTCCATGTATGCGGTCSCTCCTCCCTCCCTCAGATGTGTGGTGTATGATGGGATGTCGCGTCAGTATTTGACAGGTCAGGTCATATCCTTGAGTCTTCCGCTGCACTACAYTGTGCCATTTTCATATGTATCTGGATGTACATTGCTCGTTGATGCTTGACGCTGCATTGTCCATTCGAGTCCTTTTCATCACTTTGTGGATTCTTGGCTCCATATACATTGCTCAACTGAGCATGTATCACTGAGCTTCGACAAAAGAAAGTCATCAKTACGAAGTGCTGCGTCGGTGATCGAGCCTAACGGCGGCTTYCTGGAARCGGGAATTATTAGTCAAATTAAATAGAGTGGTGCCTCTGAGACAGACCACTGAGAAAAGYTGTATTGTGTGTATGTAGCAATTGGTCATAAGCAGTCGACCGTAGCACAATTAGTGATAATTATTTCAGAAGTGGGTGCTTTAGAATATTCTATTATATTGTGCCAGCCACTGCAACAGATCCTGCTCCTCTTCAATTTCTTGCTCCTTATGCAGGTTGTGCTATCATAATTTTTTTCCGAGACAATGGAATGAACGCTCTAATTATCTATGACAATCTTTCGCATTGTGAGTTCAGCAGGATCATAACAGATATGGCAGTATATATATGAGACAGTCATGTTGACGGAGAGAGACAGTAGTATCAGGGGGAAATACAGTCATATGAGAGAGAAAAAGAGGAATGCACCAGAGTCTTCCCATCTCCACCTGCCTCCCTCTTTGCAACTCCCGGCTCTCCGCCGCAGGTGGACCTGCATATGAGAGAAAAAAAGAGGAATGCACCAGGGTCTTCCCTTCTCTACCGGTCTCCCTATTTGCAACTCCCCGCAGGTGGACCTGCAGTGTGAAACCACTTGTTTAAACTTTAAAGTAATTACTAATTTGAACTGGATTTCATTTGGAAGACAAAAGATGGGTGCTCAGAAGCAGGAGGGTAGGAAGGAAGTGCAGGATCTATATATACACTTGTAAAGTAGGAGAGAAGACACTTGTAAACTTCGACACATGGACTTCACGCACAACAGGGCTCTATTGTAAAGCAGGACACTAAGGGCAGTGTCAAATTGACTGAAAACAGGTAGGCATAAAGAATGGACGAGTTGGCAGCTTATTAACAAAGGTGACATTACCGAAATAGCTGCAAGCTTCGCAACCGCTGTTGCCGCCTGAGCCTATGTCCCCTATCAGTGCTGCGATCAAGAACTCGAGCCAGCGCCTGCAGCTCACACACACACACACACACACACACACACACACACACACACATCCTCTAGATGAGTCGTTTAAATTCCAACAGACAGGCACATCACAGACATGGTTTGGAGCTGAGTTGAGGAATCAACACCCCACCCAGCCACCTACGCACCCCTCGCCCCAGGTATAAACATGCATGCATGGATGCACACCCTGTATTTACTGTTCATTGCATCCAGGTTCATTATCTTGCGGCATTTCCTAGTTGCACTTCGAGTACCAATGACCGCTCCCTTGCACAAAGTGTTCAGCTCCAAGAACTGAATCCGCTCTTGTTGTTCTTCCTAGCTCTTCAATTGTTTGTCATTGCAACTGTCCCCTGTCCACGGGCATTGTTACTTCCCTAATGGGTGCTCATTATTATGCACCTCACTTTAAGAACAAAGTTGCTGCTTGGTAAGGCATCCAACACTCGGGAGTCTTCTGGCATGATACCATCTCCTATTTTTGGTTCCAGCTTGGAAGCCATATCTGTCATCTCCTACCAGCTATGTTCCTTCCACACTGTCATTGACCAGATTGTCTACAGCACTACCGTCTTCACTCAAATAAAACGCCCGGTAATTATCTCCGCATCTAGACTGAAAGTTTCCCCAAATACAGCTATAATGACCGGGCATTCTATTCCGGTACTTGCTTCTGCTGTGTCATAGCCGCTGGTTAAAAGTTCTATTTACGGGTGAGTGGCCCTTCCTGAGGGACAACCATGTAAACTAGGGGTGGAGGAAGATCAGTGTAGGAGAGGAGGTCAGCAGGACTGGAAGTTCATGACTGACTGGCCATGGCTTTGAGCCGAAGAAAGCTTACTTGCGGCTGGTAGAGAAAAACCTTCAAGTGAGTGCTCTTCAACATCAGCCTACACCACAGAAGAGTCTTCCAATTCCTTTTTGTTTGCCCTTTCGTCTAGAGTCTTCCAGTTCTACTTATGAGGCAGGGTTTTCTGTCTGTTATTCATAATTGGCCGATCTAAGATATACTGGATCTGCTAATGATGAGCTGATAGAGAGCAAAGTATGGACTATCATCACATGAGAGTGAGGGAAAGCAAAATCTGTGTCTTCATGCATGTGCCGACATCAGCATTGAAGAGAGTGAGGGAGAGGCGCACACGCGAGAGAGAGAGAGAGAGAGAGAGAGAGAGAGAGAGAGAGAGAGAGAGAGAGAGAGAGAGAGAGAGAGAGAGAGAGAGAGAGAGAG